CATGGCTGGTCCTGACCTAAGGAGGGCCTCCCCCCTCCCCCCCCCGCCCTGGAGCCCCCTAAAAATTTATTAAAACACCCCTCTAAAAACCTTTTCAATTTGGTTAATTTAAACAATTTTTTATCGATAATCCCTGCATGCCACCTCTCGGGGTTCCACACCCCGTCATCGAGGTAGGCCCTGGAAATGTTGTATATAAGATATGTGTATATCTCAACCCATATACACATAACATATAACATTACAAACTGTACCAAGTTTTAAATGCAATACCCACAGTGAGGATCAAAGCATCTGTTTAGGGTTTTGGTTTTTTTTTTAAATTGCTTTCTTTATACACCCAAGATTTTATTTAATCAAGAATGAATTTTCTCAAACTGCAACATGTAGCGAGGAGAGAGAGAGAGAGAGAGAGAGAGAGAGAGAGAGAGAGAGAGAGAGAGAGAGAGAGAGCAGAAAAAGTCTGTGCACAGAGTGAGTGGAGTAACTGGAGAGAAAAGTTGGAGAAAGCTCCCGGTCAGTTGAGAAAGAAGGCATGCTGGCTGAGGAATTCTGGGAGTTGAAGTCCACAAGTCATAAAAGGGCCAAGTTTGAAGACCCCTGATCTAGAGTTCAACCTCCCATGTTACATTATGGTACCTGAGCATATTAGAGATAGCAAGGCAAGGTTGTTGTGGGTAGTGGTTAAAAAAAAAATATCCAGATGACAGTCACAACTAGGTGATCAAAGCTCCTGGCCTTTTTAAAGGGATGGGGTGTTTTTTTTTAAAAAAAAAGAGGTGGGGTTTCAAATTTATGGTTATGGGCACCAACTTGACTTCATTGACCCAGCCCATCAATATCCCAGTAACAAGGTCAAATCTTATGCTTATTTCTGCGAAGGACAGAAAAATGACAGAAATGACATGCAAAGAGTAGCTCACACTAAGTTCTATGCATGATGCCAGAGCTACACATTTGCCTTAGAGCCTGAGAGCATAATGAAATAGAATTTATACTGGTTTGGGGGCGATTCAGCCTCTTCAGTAATTTTAATTAATTAGTAAAAAGCCCTGGCTGACTCAGTTATTGTCTCGAAGCCATGATAGTTATTACTTTAACTGTGTTCTGAAGAATATGAGCATAGGCTTATGAGGGTGGCCATCACTCATGATACCAGTATTAAAAGTCTGCTCTGCAGTACACCAGGTTAATAGATAAAGGAATACTTTGCTTCTCTTCTAGGTGTCCAGCTACATTGATACCAATCAACCTTTTGGTCTGAGCACTGTAGAGCCAGGAACCATTTTTACGTATGCACAGTTTGATGGAATCCTGGGCTTAGCCTACCCCACAATTGCAGTTGACCAAGCAACTCCTGTCTTTGATAATTTGATGCAAGAAGGTTTAGTGCAACAAAACTTGTTTTCTGTTTATCTCAGCCGGTAAATAATATTTTTATCTACCAGTTGTTGTTAGTTGTTGAAGCAAAATGCACAATGGAATATATTTTTTTGACAGCTCAGTTATGTCACCTGAATAACAAAGAGCTGGGTTGTACTCTTAAAATGTATGAGATGGCCACGGGTTGTAGTTCTAAAAAAAATTAGCAACAAAGAATAAGACAGCTGTTATTCTACTGTGCTTGTATTTGTGTAAAAGGCCAATCTTCTCACGGCAAAATGTGTATGGGGATTCTCAATCATCCTGGTCACAGTTGCCTCAAAGGTGCTTTTCCAAAAGGCAACTGGACTTTCTTGGTTATTTCCTTGAAAATGTTTTGCTTCTCATCCAAGAAGTTTCTTCAGTTCAGAAGAAGCTTCTTGAATGAGAAGTTAAACATTTTCAAGGAAAAAAAAATCCAATTATCTTTTGGAAAAGCACCTTTGGGACTTCTCATGGCAAGTTCTCTTGATGATTCTGCATTAAGTTTAAAATAGCATGGAATCCCTCTGATTCCACAATGTCTCTACTATTGGCTCAGCTGTCTACTAACAGCAGTAGTAGAGAGCTGAGCCAATGGGTTTCTGGCCAACTACGGTTTTGTTGAAATTGATGTTTCCTTTTGCAATTCTTTGAAAACCTGGAACTCCATAGAGTTTATGAACAGACGGTTTTTTTATTGGGGAGATCTTCTATCCTGGCTCCTGGACTTGAGCTGTTCTACCTGGTTCTTTGCAGAAAATGGTGGTTTGATGACTTTGCAGTTCAACCACCCAGACTTTTTTTTTCATGGGCAAATATGCACAAAGTGAAGAAAAGTCTTGAACAGATGGGTGGAGTGGGAAACTGCAAGCCGTTCCTTTTGTTGTTGTTTTTGTTGCATGTGAGAATGAGGAATCTTTTTTTAATTTTGGGACATGGGACACTTAATGTGCATCAAATGGCTTGACAACTTCATACCATATATTCATGTTTCAGAAAAGCATCTGGGAGTGTGATCACCTTTGGTGGAATAGATCATTCTCATTATACTGGTTCTATTAACTGGATACCAGTGAGTCAACAAACATACTGGCAGATTTCAATGGACAGGTAAGCAGGATTTGCTATAAGTACTATTATTTAGATTATAAATAATATATATATTATTTATAATATAAAATATATATTGTTATATATATAGATTGAGTTCTTTATTACTATTGGACATTACTGTTGGACACCAGAAAGTTTTATCAAATACTTTTAAGATTCATAACCTGAAGGGATAAGAAGTGAAAAGAAAGAAAGAAAAGTCAAGCTCACAACTGCTGGAATGAAAATGTTGATTACACATGGCATATTACATACTGAAAGAGCAGAGTTTCCTGCTCTAAAGAGTTTCCCAGCTACATTTATTATAACTGCTTTCTGCAGTTTCAAGCTGATATCCTGGTTTAGCCTTGTCTAATTATATAGTATAGAACCGTATTAGTCACCCTCATGTTAACTTCTTAAGGAACACAGTAATTATATTTTAATAAGTGGTAGCCTTTTTTATTTCTAGTATCACCATCACACAATTTCTGTTTCTTAGTGTTTTAGTGAATGGTGAGACGATTGCCTGCAACGGTGGCTGTCAAGCAATTGTTGACACAGGTACCTCCCTCTTGGCTGGTCCACCATCCTCCATAAATAGTATTCTAAATGCTATTGGAGCTAATCAGGGGCAGGTAAGATTAAACCCCTTATTCTCTGCCATTGTATTTGCAATTCATTACATTTGAAAGACTCTTCTATTCATCCTCATCACACTGATGTCCGTACAATACCAGGGTGTGAGAGGTTAGGTGTAGAAATATGTAGATTGGTAGATATCTGATTTGTATTACTGCTCAGTTTGCATTGTGGATTTCCACTTCAGCAAATTTCTGCCTATATATTTCATTAAAATTCAAATATAAATTTGATAGTCCTGTTAGGATAAAGTTGTGTTTTACTCATAAAGTGTATGAGATGACCATGGATTATGGCTCTAAAAAAATAAAGTAGTAAAAATATTAAATCTCCCTAGAAATTGGTCATTAAAAAAAACAAAACACCACATCCTGTATTTATTATGTAATCAAAGTAATGGAAATTATCTCAATTTGCAAGGTGGTGTTCACCTCAAGCATAACACTTAATGTCTATGGAGATTCTCAGTCACCCAGGTCATGATTGTCACAAAGGTGCTTTTTCAAAAGGTAACTGGATATTTTTTTTTGTTTTTCCTTGAAGATGTTTAGTTTCTCATCCAAGAAGCTTCTTCAGTTCTGAACTAAAGAAGCTTCTTGGATGAGAAGCGAAACATCTTTAAGGAAAAACAAAGAAAGCCCAATTGCCTTTTGAAAAAGCACCTTTGAGACATAACACTTAATAAACATAATAATGAGTTACCACTTAAGACAGCAATTTTACTTTCTTGAGATTTCATATGTGGAGCAAAAATGTTGCATTTTGTGATTTTTTAAAAAAATATTATATGTTGTGATCAGAATAATTCAAGAATACTCTTCCTTGTTTTGTATAGTCTGTAATCAACTGCAGCAATCTCTCCAACCTGCCTGATGTTGTTTTTGTGATCAATGGAATCAACTATCCACTGAAGCCTTCAGCTTATACTCAACAGGTACATAATAGATTTGGATTTATACTCAATGCCTGATTACACCTAGTTTCATGCAGATTAGAAGTGCCTGCTCTGTCCAAGGCAAGAGATAAAAATAGAAAGATGGAAGCAATCTTTTGTAAGAAATATTATTAGTAATGCAGTTGGGTCACAAGGGCTGGAGATCCTCTTTTGAGGTGCATCTCAAATTCAAGGATAAAGGTGCTCTTTGGAAGAGCAACCATACCTGCACTCAGATACTATGACATTAACATAAATTTGATTCTTGAATAAGGTTTTTGACTTTTAGTAATTTTGTCCTGCCAGTTATATGCTTATCACCGTCAAGATTTTTTGATCCAAAAGTTGCAGTATGGTATCAGGTGTTGCAAGTGTTTGTTTAGCTGTTCCAGGAAAGACAAAATGTGGAAGAAAATAATGCTGTTTTCCCCTCAGTTCCTCTTTGCATAGAAAATTGCAAAATCTCACTTTCTGCATTTTCTTTTTAAGACCACAGTATGTGTTTTTGCAATGGCAATGAGAAAAAAAAGCTGCTCACTGTTCAAATTTTAGCTACTCGAAGTCAGAGGATTACACTAAAGGAAAAAGAGTGGTGTATAATTTAGATGAGTGCTTCTTAATCTCTAGATCAGGGGTCCACAACTCCCGGTCCACGGACCAGCACTGGTCCACAACATGCCAGCAACCAGGCTGTGCAAACAAGCGAAGCCCCATCCATGGGATGCAGGCAGCACGCAAAACCACAATCCCTCTGGTTCATGGAAAAACCTTTCTCCACAGAACTGGTCCCTGGTGCCCAAAAGATTGGGGGCCGCTGATCTAAATAGCACATGATCTATTTTATGTGGAAAATATATGAGATATAAAGCTGTAGTCTGGCAAGTTTTACTACTCTTTTATTCCAGATACTGCTATGTCCAACTATCCTAGCACACCACAATTATGTTTCCACAATAAAATGAAAAGCACAAGAATAGCAGTAAAACAAAGGCCCAAATCTGATGTGCTTGGAAAATCCTTCCCAGCATACCTGTCAAGTGCTAGGGAAATCAGAAGATTCAGGCAGTTCAAATGAGTATAAAGATTTATTGCAAGCCTAAGCTCTCTACAAAATCTGAGCTACTAATGGTCAAGAGAAATGAGCAGGAATTAAGAGGCATTAAAGGTGGGCTGGAGTTAGAATTAGATCTCTTGTGGGCTTGCAGAGACTCTCAAGGACTCATGACTTATGAAACATTTGACCCCTCCCTCAGATTCAGCCTGGTTATCTCCTACAATTCCTGGCATCTCTGCACTAGACTTACCAAATATTTTTAAAAAAATTTTAAAAAAAAATTATTGATTTTTAACAATTATAATCTTTAGTGCTTAGTAAACAATGTGTTGTCTGGGTTCACATATTTAACATTAACTTCTTCAATATAAATCTGTTCAATACTGCACAATCCAGTATTTTTCCCTGATCCTCCTTTCTTCCCCAATTGTTTACATTTTCCCAACACTACGCAATACCATTTTTGCCACTATTAATACATATAAAATTGAATATAAACATCCTCATCATATTTTCTAGCGTTATACAAATAACAATAATATCAGTTTATAACCTCTTTTCTAACCAATTTATATTTCAAATGTATTTGCAATTAAAATCTCCTTATTAAATCAATATCCTGTTTTTCATGTTCTTATTTAAGTTTAATTTCCCATCAATATTCGGAATATCTTTGTCAATTATTATTTCTCAAGATTAGTTACATTTATGTAGCTAAGAGTTTTATTTATAGATGCCATCCTCATATTTTCATATTTCCCTTATTAAAAAAAGTGCTGTTCTAATTATAAATCATATCTTTCTTATTATAAAAGTCTAATTATATCTAAGAGTTATCCATTCTTTTAATCATATTCAAACAAATATTTAATCATGGTAATGTCCCCTCTGATAGGTCAAATCTTCTATTTTTTAAGTCTAACTCAGCTGTTCTCTGTTAAGCTAGGAGTCACCGAGCAGCCAAGAAGCTAGGTTATTATCTGTTTCTCAGCTTCTTACCAGATCAGCATCAGTCCTTGCAGTTGTAGTGCTATATTCACCACTAGATATCATTCTATATCCATTTTCCACTCTCAAAACAGAAGGTTGATTTCTTATATTTCGCCCCACTATTTTTCCAAAGAGAAAATCTTAACAATTATCTCACTTCTCAAATTTACCAAAGCTGTAGTTTTATATTGTTTCCACTTCAGTATTATGTATTTCTGTCCCCCATAAAAAGATTAAAATGCAGCTTCCGTTCCTCTGGAAGGATGGGGCTACAGTCCCCTTTCTTCTCACGTTCAGAGGTTTTTAGCTTCTTGGGAGCCTTTTCCAGGAAATTCAGTTGAAAATAATAAAGAAAGGATCAATTCTCACCCAGTTCCAAACACACTGTTTACGATCTGCTAGTTAGTGTTTTGTTTCTTTGGTTGTCAGTAGCTAAAGGCTGGCCACAGGGATGCAGCCAGTCTTTCCCCTGCTGATTTGGAGGGCTTCCTCAGATCGAACGGAAAGAACACAATCTCTCCATGATCAACAAGGCACTCCTCCTTCTTCATCTCCTCTTTGGGGTGACTTTAGGGCCCCCAGCAGGGCGAAATCAGATGTGGAAAGAAGAGCTCTGCCTTCCTGTGTCAGTATCGCTATGACGTCAAACCGGAAGTCCTAGATTTACCAAATATTGATGCCTGCTGATAATATACTAAAAGATCTTATCAAATTCAACTCTTCAAATATGTTGGATTATAATTCTAAGAATTCTAGAATAGTATGGGCCCTAATTTTAGCTCTGCTGTCAGGGAATTCCATTGTCCCAAAACAATGACTAACCCTGCCTATATTATCTATGCCTGGGTTTTACTGATTAGTGAGTCCCTTTAATGCAATCAGTACACCAAAATGATAACACAGAATCAAGTCAATCACTCTGTGAAAAAAATAAGCTGCCAAGGAATTTTCTCCATGATATTATTTCAGAGCTTGATGGATATGTAGAAAACAGAGTCCACTTCCAAGCCTGAATCTCCTTATAGTTTCTACATGTGTGTTTAGTGAATTAGTCAATTTTTGAGTTCACATATTATTTAAACAATAAACAAATGGAATAAGCTGATTTGCACAACAAGCCACAAAGAATCAAGCCAATATTTAGAGTAGAACAGAACAGAACAGAATAGGAGTTGGAAGGGACCTTGGAGGTCTTCTAGTCCAGCCCCCTGCTGAAGCAGGAGAACTTATACCATTTCAGACAAGTGACTGTCTAGTTTACACTAACCAATCTGAAAAGTTTTTAACTGATTTCTCAACAATGTTATCTCCTGAAAATTTATACTCTTGATATTAATAACTCTTAACATAAATATCTTATTTATTAATGTCTTCCTGGATTAAAAGGACAATAATACAAAACAGCAGTATTACAATGCCAACATAAATTTACTGACTTTTTTTTCTGTACTAGTAGAAAGAATTTCAGTATTATCCTTCCCATTGTCTAGCTCAGTTATAACAACAACAACAACAACAACAACAACAACAACAACAATAATAATAATAATAATAATAATAATAATAATAATAATAATAATAATAATAATACAGTTGGAAGGGACCTTGAAGGTGATTTAGTCCAACCCCCTGCTCAAGCAGGAAACCCTTTACCATTTCGGACAAATGGCTGTCCAGTCTCTTCTTAAAAACTTCCAGTGTTGGAGCATTCACCGCTTCTGGAGGCAGGTTGTTCCACTGGTTAATTGTTCTAACTGTCAGGAAGTTTCTCCTTAGTTCTATTGCACTTCAATTATTTTCTCAATGGAGCAGCACATAAAGCATTTTGCAAGCCTGGAATCTCCCTACAACTTTTAAAGAGCTTTCTTACTTGAACAGTTGATTTTTATTCCTTTAGGTATCATCATAGCTAACAATCTCTTTGCATACCATACCCCAGCATTTACTTCATTATTTTATTTCGTTTATTCTTTCTTTTATAATTTTTCTAGGGAACATTTGCTTAGCTTTTTGTGTTTGTTTGTTTCCTGGTACAATCTGACTAAAATTAATTCACTGAATAATCCATGCACAGATTCAATCTTATGGCTGTTTTTTTTAATTTGTTTTGTTTTCTTCCTTTCCTCTAGATGCTACCAGGCTATTGCAGCAGTGGTTTCCAGTCCTCTCCTGGGGATCTCTGGATTCTAGGGGATGTGTTCATAAGAGAATACTACAGCATTTTTGACAGAGGCAACAATCGAGTTGGGCTGGCAAAGGCAATCTAGAAAAAAATCTGCTTTTTACAACAGTGAATAATGTATCTGTTTAATCAATACATCCAACTATATTTTAACTTCCCAGCAATGTATTGAATTAACTCTAGTCCTGTGCTTTTAAATGCAATAACTGATATATTACAAGATAATTTGCAAATGGTAGCACTATTCAAGTATTTCTAATCACCACTGCATGCAAAAAATAAATAGATAAATATCTTGTTCCAAAGTTATGCTGTTAGAGCTGTTGCTGACACACACTGTAACTTGTGGTAGCTTCAGGGTAACAATTGGCAAAATCTCTGATGTTTCATCCTGTCCCATCAGGAATATTTATGTGTGGGAAAATGAATTACCAATCACTCTCCAGAAAGTGTGACCAACCAGGGTTGGGGAACTTGAAAGGCAATATGACCTTTCTTTGCAGTTTGTTTGAGGTAGTTCATAGTCAACTTTTACTTATTGTCTGTTTGTCAGGAGCATAGCTGTCTCTCCATCTGCTGAACGATTTGAAGGTTGATATGGCAAAATAGCCCGTGTTTTTCAAAGCCGCTGTATTGGAAAGCACGGGCTAAGCTGCCTCAAGCCTTCACTGCTTCTTCTTGTGTTCATTTTCATGTTAAGCTGCCTGCCTCAGCAGTCCCATTGTCTGTCTTCACTGCTGCTCGCCCAATTATTCCTTGAGCCCAGTAGTACTTGCTGGTCTTCTATCTATAATCTGACACCAATCCATTTGCCTTTCTTGAATCATCTGAGTATAATGCCTTCTGGGACCAATTCCTACAGCAACTTAGAAACTAACCAGGGCTCTACTCGACTGGCAGCTGCTTGTTTGGGATTCACTGATATGCGGTGACAATCTGCCATGAAATATGGAAGAGAAGAGTGGAGGGGAAAATACTTGGGAAACTGAAACAATGCTGTGCCTTCTCAAGGAACTGCTTCAAGGTCATCCAGCTGGAAGAAGGAGGAGGCAGCATACCAGAGCACGCCTGAATTGACCATTAGGAAAACAGCTTGCAAGATTTTAATTGGACACTTTAATTGGGGTGGGAAATGAAAACCAATCAAGGAAGGGGAAAGTGGAAAGTATAATGTTTGAGATTTTGCTGCACAAATTACAGTTCTGGCTATGCCTTACTGCAATCCACTTGATCTTTAATAAAACTGTACCTTTCTCAACAAATGGAGCCAAGGATCATTTTTTTGGGGAGGTTAAGTGAGGGCAGTCTGACACTGACACTGAATATTGTGTTAAAACACTGCTCCAGCATTTCTAAGGGAGCTCCTTGGGAAGTCTTTTTTTTTTTTGTCAATGAAAGTAGCATTTTGGGTAATCTGGGATGTTCACCATCCTACATTGCAGCCTTTCAATCTGGAGTCAGAAGTTGAAAATAAGATAATTGGCATCTGGTTAGTCTCATGGAGACTATTGAATCTGGAAGGATGGGACTTGTATTATGGGTGGCATGCTTATCTTTTTATGCAGAAAAAGATTGACAAAACTTTCAGAAATCACATAATAAGGGCTGCATTGTTAAGAGTTTGGCAAAAGTATTTTTTCAAGTTTGATGTTAAACTTCCAATTTGGGTGATACCATCACATATTTTTTTGACTATACCAAGATT